TTATTTGTCTTGGATTGTGATATTTCGAATTATAAAAACTATTTAAAAACAATAAAGCTCTTTTTTCTTTTTCTTTTTATTGTGCTTGCTTTTTTTTGTTCTTTCTTTGTTAATTTATTTAGCTCATCCTTTGATTTTGATATTTTTTACTTTTATTATTAATTAATTAATCTTATTATTTCATATTTTTTCTTCATTATTTTTTTCTCATTAACTATTTTATGATATATTTTTTCTTCAATATTTAAAAAGTGAGAATTAAATTGGTTCAATGGGTGCATCAGGTTTAGGTTCTGGTTTAGCAAATTGCATTAATCTCTCAAATTTGACACTTGACCTTTAGTAAAAACAGTTTATTTGTCTAGATTGTGATATTTTGAATTATATAAACTATTTAAAAACAATAAAACTCTTTTTTCTTTTTCTTTTTATTGTGCTTGCTTTTTTTTGTTCTTTCTTTGTTAATTTATTTAGCTCATCCTTTGATTTTCATATTTTTTACTTTTATTATTCATTAATTAATTAATCTTATTATTTCATCTTTTTTCTTCATTTTTTCCTTCTGATTAACTATTTTATGATATATTTTTTCTTCAAAAAGTGGTAATTAAATTGGTGACGAAGGTGCATCAGGCTTAGGTTCTGGTTTAGCAAATTGCATTAATCTCTCAAATTTGACACTTTACCTTTAGTAAAAACAGTTTTTTTGTCTTGGATTGTGATATTTTGAATTATATAAACTATTTAAAAACAATAAAGCTCTTTTTTCTTTTTCTTTTTATTGTGCTTGCTTTTTTTTGTTCTTTCTTTGTTAATTTATTTAGCTCATCCTTTGATTTTCATATTTTTTACTTTTATTATTAATTAATTAATCTTATTATTTCATCTTTTTTCTTCATTTTTTCCTTCTAATTAACTATTTTATGATATATTTTTTCTTCAATATTTAAAAAGTTTCAATTAAATTGGTGACGAAGGTGCATCAGGCTTAGGTTCTGGTTTAGCAAATTGCATTAATCTCTCAAATTTGACACTTGACCTTAGGTAAAAACAGTTAATTTGTTTTGGATTGTGATATTTTTAATTATAAAAACTAA